ATGCAGTCACGCGACGTAATCGGTATGAAATAGCCCCTGAAAGATGGCGTTCGGAGACTTTTGGCGGGGGTCTGTATGTCGGAAAGCATGTTCATAATTTTCTAATTTTGAACTAAAATACAAATTCATAGTTGTAAAACATAGTACATGTTTATTTAACAATAGCCTTTTGTTTACATAAACACAGTAAATCAAAAAATATTTGAACCTAAATCTGAAATAAAAAAATTTTTTTTATTCTAAGACAGTATCGATCAGGTGTTTTTTTAGGTTCAATCGAAGCGATTGTACTAGTTACAATGATTAATTTAATTTTTGATACTCATTTATTATTATTATTATCAAGTATTAACCATCACTCTATGCTATACTAGCACAGCCCTTTACCCATGCGAAGTCCAATAGACAAAATTGAAATATCCGATGGCGCAGGTTCCGATCAACGGGGCGCAACAAACCACCGATAATCTTAAGTTGTGAAAATCCTTTGTCTTGAATCACGCAAATTTTATTACTTAATTTAAAAAAAAATGAGCATCATTTCTTTCTGCAACATTATTTGAGTTCATTTAGAACGGAATATAATTTTTAAATTTAAAGTTTTATTTTCTTATTAAAAATAATATAAAAGATTAAATAATTCAAAATGAAGTTTAAAAATTATATATTTGTTTTTACAATTTTATCAACGTTTGCTATATTACCAATTATAACACAAAATATTTTTACGTATCAAGAATTACCAACGTTAAACTCCAGCGACAGTCAACCCAGAATATTTGATATTGCTTTTTTTGATGATAATACGATTGTCCTTCGCATATATCGTCGCGACTTATTGACCCCTCATGAAGATGGTGAAGTTTGGGTCGATAGATACTTGGCACTTCGTACGATTTATCCTGATGGGAAAGTTGTACCGATTGATATTAGTTTAAATATTCAAGATTTTAATTTTTGTATGTTGGAAATTGACGGAGACATAAAGAGTCCTATTAAAATTTATCCTATAAGAAGCAAATTATTGTTAGTTACTTACGCAGAGGCCACGGATCTAAATGATCCTTTCACTTACAATGAAAAGGCAATGGTCATTGATTTAAATGGAACAATTTATGGGTTAGATTAATCAACTTTATATTAAATAATTAAATAAACATTAATTCTAATTTCTTTTTTTTTTTTTTTTTAGTAACACTACATTTAAAACTACCTATGTAGATGTTGCCAAAAATCAATGGTTACCCGGCAAAACTATTATTAAAGTAAATTACAGGGGATTTCTCCGTTATACAACTATTACAAACACTAGAGACTACGGTTTTGAGCGATACGAAATGTAATATACGTTATAACATACAAATAATATTATTATATATTTAAATTTAATAAAATATTTACATTTATTTATTTACTCTATAAAGAACTGAAGACGGAAATATTCAATTTCATGTGCAAGACATCTTAAAAATTAAAGTACTTTGTGACATTATTCCAATGGTTGACGGTAGATACGCATTAGTATATATTAATTCCACGGGTTTCGATGTCGATTCTATTTTTCCACAAGAAGCAATTTACGTATTAATCTTAGAGTACGACCAAAAAACTGAACGAGAACCAGCTGTTCTCTATCATAAAATCCAAGGATTTAAAATTATTAGGATTAGTTGCGACGTTTTTAATGTAGGAGTTGGACAATTTTGTGTAGTAACAGGCGAAAATGAAAATGAATCGTTCAAAAAACCGATTTATATAAAGTTTAATTTTCTTTCATGCGGAACCGTATATGATTTTAAACAATTTCATTTTCAAACGAATCCATCTGTTGAACAATATTTTGTTCAAATATTACCATATGGAGGTTATTTATTACGTGGAATAGCAAATGTTGATGGTCAAAATATATATGATGGTTATGTTTTTAATGATTATAATGAAACTTATCCTTGGAATCTTTCTATTATCGAGTCAAGCTCAGATGTTCTTAACAAAATTTTGAGAAATAATACATTTGTGCATGTTCGACGCGAAGAAAATCAAAGTTGGACTTTGGTTACCAAAGAATTATATAAATTTAATGAGGATCGAGGTAAGTGACATTAGAAAATTTTAATTATTGTAAACATTGTAACATATAAATTTTAATATTTAAATTTTATAATGTTCTAGATCACGGATATAATAATTTCCATATCGTTTCCACGATTCCGAAAAAAAATGATATTATTCTGTCTGACACAGAATTCCTTCAAATCAAATATTATAATAAAGTTGAACTATCATACGGTAACATTACTATATTTCAAAGTGATGGTAATATCCGTCAAATCATTTCAGGAATCGACCAACAGTATATATTTCATAGTGAGGCTGGAGATTTTACTACTATTAATATCACAATACTTAAATCCACTTTCAATCAGCCTGGTAGAAGATACTACGTTTCAATTGATAATGGTTTTGTTAAAGATAAAATTCATCAAGAGCCTCTCTATGGTATAAAAGACCAGTTATGGGCTTTTACTACAATACGTAAGTTTATTTCTGAATTTATTTCGTTAATTTTATATACGCTTAATCATTATCAAAATAGAACAAGAAACTGGAATAAGTTCAGATGAAGTTATGGGACAAGTTCGATTGACTCCAGAGGGAACTTCTTATTTTCTTTATGAGGCCGATCGTAAAGACTTTCTTACGAAACTAATAAAAGAATTGGCAGATGCAATTCCCGTCAGTCCTGAATGCATAACTACCAATGAAGGGTTTGAAGTGGATACTTCAGTTTCTCAAGAATCTCAAAAGCAAATCTTTTTATCCATTGACATTAAAAAAAATGAAACTGAATTTGGAAGTTCTTTTAGTTTCTTAAGTGATGATTTAGATAATTTAATTATGAATAAACGTATCACCGTGATCGCATTAGGAGAAACTACAAGATATTTAGATGAAAGTTATGGATATAAAGCTCATCGTAAGAATTCTAATATTATTAAATAAGTGTTTCAAGTAACTCGGATAAAAGCTAAATAAATATATTTACTTGAATTAAATAGCCAATGTTTTGAAAGCCTATGGAATAACTCTCGTTGGAGCATTTGTAGTCGCAATATTATTGCTTGGAGTTTACTTATATGCAAAAAATGAAAATGAGGATGTAAATATCACGAATATAATAATTTATTGATCAAAAATTTAATACACATATTTTACATATTTAACTTTTTTTTATTATTATTTAGGCAAAAAATACTGTAATTTTTCAAATTAGTATTGTTATTTTCGATATTATCATGGATATTACTTTTATAATCACAAAGGCCAAAAATGTTGAAGTATTATATATTCCAAGGTAAACAGATTCTGCACTACATTGAGCTAAAAAAAAAAAAATAAATTATTTATTTACAATAAGAATTGTCTTTTCTAGCATTGTGTTTTTTATATTTCCATTTACCATAAGCATGATACTTGCATTTATAATTATTAAAAAAGAAGAACAAAGGAGAGAATTTCTTGAATGGTCACGTGAAAATAGAAAATTTGTAGAATTATTCACATTATTTGCAGGATCTGAAATTGGAATGTTATATGTACTTGAATCAAAAGTAAGGATTGGAGGACTGAATATCTTTAATGCTAAATTTTCTAAAGAAGCATTAAAGCGAATATATTGGGCATCTTGGTTTAATATCTTTTTTGAAGATATTCCTCAATTTGTTATACAGGTAAAGGATGCTAATATGAATTATGTTTATTTGCTCTTTTTATTATTTATTAAATTATCAATTTTAAAACATTTCGATAGATTCTATATTTTAGAAGAGTGATATACTACGATGTCATACCTTTATTAAACCTTATTTCGTCCTGTCTATGTATACTTAGTCACATTGTTGGAAAATTATACGAATTTTGAGCAATTGATAAGTATTTGTGTTTGAAAAGTATGATGATATAACTTATTTTTCTTGATAGTTAATCCTTCTTAGATGATTAAATTTTAGATTACATTTTTTCTTTTTATTTAGATTTAAATTATTTATTTTGATGTTCTTATTGACAAATTTCTCCTTTTGCTTCTAAAAATAAAAATACTTAACAGATTAGATATTCATAACTACCTGAGGAAAGTTCTTAAATATAATTTTTTTTTTTTTTGACTTACGCAATAGCGTCGTCATAAAGACACGCCAGATTTTAAATGTATACATTATTTTCATAAATTTTATAATTCGATATGGCCTTGTTACAAGTATTCAAGTAGTCAAGTAATAACAAGTGTTCATTTCCTATTCCGTTCAAATAAAAAATAAGTAATTTACGATTTCTTCGTATGAATATCTTGACTTTCGCAAAGCGTAATTTTTTAAAAATTAAATTTCCAAACGATTTGAAATTTGTTGTGGATGAAATCATAATGGACAAACAAAATTAACTGTCTTTTTTATTTCTCAAAAAAAATCATTTTTATTGTAATAGTGCTTTTTTTTTTTATTATAATTAATTATAACTTGTCGGTTTCCTTTTTCTTCATGAACCACATCGTGATTCGTTCCAAATTTGTTTGCCAGATTTTCCTGTTTCACTAAACATTCTATCTTTTTTTTTATATTTTTGAATATTTGTGTAAAATAAAAAAAAAAAATAAAAAATAAAAAAAAATTAATATTATGCTCCACCATTATTAAAAACAGAAGTAAAAATTTATAAGTTTCTATAATCGAGACGTTTCAAAAAATATACTTCTTTATGGGGAATTAACTAACGAAGTATTTGAAACGGAGACAAGGGATACATACACAGGTGTTACAAAATAAGTGGCGCAGAAATAATAATTTTAGCTGAATTCAATCTATTTTAGGGATAATGAATGTGTGAAGCAAATAAATATTTTTCTGGCAATTTACTTTTTGTATACAGATCGGTAAATAGGCGAATAGTGAACACAGATAATTAACGAATAAATCTAATGAGAAAATTACATATTAAAAACGTGACAAGACAATTGATGATCTAAGCACGGAACTTGTATGACGGTAAATGGATTTTTGTTACGCACTATAACGCATTTTGTATTTTTCTAATTAAAACGTTCTCACACATTCGACTTTAATACTTTAATATGCGTATGAGTCATTCGTATCGCATTTTACTTAAAAAAAAAATAACAGCTAAGAAATTTTATTCTATAAATTTTTTTATATAATAACTTTAGAAAATGATTTTCAAAAAAAAAAAAATTTAATAGCGCAAAGCTGCGTCACGCACAAAAAGACACATTTTTATTTTTTATTTATATCCATTATACTTAATTAGTTGAAGATTATTCTTTGTTTACAACCTTTTCTTGTTTTCTATTAAAAATTACATTGGTAACATCCTTCCATGTAAGGTCCAACATACAGTGAGCCGCACATCAAATTCAACACCATAAGCTTCAGCGGTTTCTTTTATATTTTTAAATCAAAAAATCTATCTTCTTCGGCACCAATCACAATCATAGGACATTTAATTTTCGAAGGGTCAATAAAAGGTTTAAGAAGTTCGATCCCAACTGTTGATAAAACTAACCTTATCGAGCTTTGGATGAATATCTATGGCCATAGAATCAGGAAATGCTTTAGAAAAGGAAAACCTTTTCATTAACTCGGGATTTCCAACTAATGCATACTGTTTTAATATAAAGAGCGCTTTAAGGATAGCAAAAATTGGCATATTTGAAAGTATTTTACGAGTGTGTTTGAAGGCGCCTGTTCTGTCGACATATGGGAGATAAGCTATTAAAATCACGTTACGGATCATATGATTTACTATGTCCGTAACAAACCTCCCATATGAGTTTAAATATCAGCTCAATATACGCAGAATCCGTGTTAAATTAATGAAGGAAGGTTGAAAGTAAATTTTATTAAATGATCAATACTAGATCACTCATGAAAACCTTCCTTACATTGTTCCTAAGCTTATATTAACATGACGAAAGATTATGTTATATTGCGTGGATTTAATATATTTAAAAATATATTCGACTTGTACTGGAGTTATGTATGGCAAAAGTTTTTGTATGATAACCTACTTTATAAAAGAAGAATGATCATTTAAATTTATTTTAATTTTATTTACCTTAAATTTAACCAATCAAACGTCCAAAGGTGATCTTTCGGACAAATTGCCTTCTGGTCAAAATGTACACTCCCCTCCAAAAAATATCCGACCACTTGCTGATCATTTACCGATCATTTGAAATTATAGCTGATTTTGACGTTTATTACTTAACAATTTATTAATAAAATTTTTACA